AGTTTTGCCTTTTCCAGAATGTCATACAATTAGAATCATACAGTATGTAGCCTTTTCAGACTGGCTTCTTTCACTTAGTAACATGAATTTAAGTTTCTTCCATGTCTGCTCTTGGCTTTATAGCTCATTCTGTTTTGGCGTTGAATAATATTCCACTGTCTAGATGTACCGCAGTTAATTGCCACTCACCTACTGAAGGATATATTGGTTGTTTTCAAATTTTAGCAATTAGGAATAGAGTTGCTACCCATGTACAGGTTTTTGCATGGAATGTTTTCAACTCCTTTGAGAAAATAACAGCAGGATTGCTGGATCATATGGTAAGAGTATGTTTAGTTTTGTAAGGAAACATAAAACTGTCTTCCAAAGTGGCGGTACCAGTTTTCATTTCCATCGGCAACAAATGAGAGCTCCTTTTGCACCACATCCTCATCAGCTTTGGGATTGCCAGTGTTCCAAGTTTTGTCCATTCTAAGAGGTATGTAGTAGTATCTCCTTGTTTTAATTTGCATTTTCTTGATGACACATAGGATGTGGAGTTTATCATAAAATTTTAAGAATTGAATGAGAATTCTGCTCAGCTGCTAGCCATCTCATTTACCCTTAACAAATGCACACACATGCATGCAAAATACCAATGAGCCAGTTCGGGACTTAAGGAAGGAGTAATGACTAAGCTAACTTTAGGCTCCTGTTTGGTGGTAGGTAGTCATTACTTCATTCAGTCATTCTCTACCAGGTATCTTTCATCCAGAACTTAAATTATTACTGTCCAAGAGTAAATTTAGTTGCTCTTCCAACTGCTGTAGGGAAGAAAGATTGTATTCACTACTATATAATTGTGTGTCATACTTAGTGTGTTCATTTAGTTCACCTGTATATAGATAGTGACAATTATAAATGAGAAGAATATTTACGGTTTGCCATTTGTCTCAGTAAGAGTCTCTCTAGAAGAAAATGTTGAATTGTACTGTGAATAGATTCAGTTATTAATACACTGGTAATAACGTATATGTTAAAATTCTCTACAGTTCATAAAATACTTCCATATCTGTTATCCTATTAATCCCTTAGAGTGATCCTATGAGACAAGTGGGGGAAGTAGTTTTAATATTATCTTAATCTGTACTTTCCATATGATTACGGCTTAAAGAGGTGATATAATTAAACAAAGACTATACATCTGGTATTGGTCAAGTATGAACTCAAATTCAAGGCTTTAATTTTTTATACATTTTCCACTATTTTGTAGTAAATGGTGAATGTCTACAAAGTTTGCTGAGGTCTCATACATTAAAACACAAGAGAATATATCCTTCTGTAATTGAGGTTTTATTCCTAAATGGTAATGCTTAAAGCTTAATTTTTCTCAGGTTTTCCCTGCTTATCACACTGGCCACATGTATCCTTTCTGTTGGGAACACTGTCCTCCCCACTCCCCCCTTCCTTTCAACATGTCCCCTCTTCACTCACTCTTCAGATCTCAGTTCATATCCCATCTTCTCAAGAGAGCTCTTCCTGGGCTCCCTCCTACAGGACCTGCCACCCAGCCAGTCTAAATGTGCTCCAAGTATCTTACACATGAAGGGAACTGTGAAGCTTCTGCAGGGCTGGAGCGGGTGGAAGTCTGAGGACCCACAGAGTAGACCCGTGTCCTGCTTCTGAACGGCATAGTTCAGGAAGTAGTAAGACCTAGGAGGGACCATATTCAACTTCCAAAATCCATTCACTGTGCAGTGAGTGATGTGTAGGATCAGCAGAACCACTGGACCTGAAAAAGCCAGGCAGCTGAGGATGATGACAACCCTAAAAGAAGCAACATTCATTCATTCATTCATTCATTTATTTTCCCCCAATACAGTTGCCATTCATGTTATATTAGTTTCAGGGATACAGTATAGTGGTTAGACTTTCATATGACTTACAAGATGCTCCCTCCGATAAGGCTAGTACTTACCTACCACCATATGTAGCTATTACAATATTGTTGACTATTTTCCCTTGCAGTACTTTATATTCCTGTGACTATTTTGTAGCAGCCAGTTTCTACTTATTAATCCCTTCACCTTTTCCACCCAGCCCTGAACTCCTCTCACACCTGGCAACCATCAGTTTGAAGAAGCAACTGTTAATGATAGAGTAAGATACTAGAATTATATCCTGGTCAAGGGAAGGAAACCGATTCAGAGAGAGGCTGACATTAGCTTTTTTTGTACATTGTTTGTTTCTGCCAGCTGGGTGGCAGGAATGAAGACTTGGACCTAGAAATTGAACTATAGAAAATATATTTCAAGTTTGATACCTGAGTTCTAATATTGAGATTCATACTTACTGTGCAAATATTTGTGTGATTAGTTGCTTAGTGTCAGCCTCATCCCCTAGACTATAAAAGCTCCTCAAGGGTAGGGACTAGATGTTTTGCTCACCACTGTATCTCCAACACATAGAAAATTATCCCCACAGAGGATTTATTGCAACAAGTATTGTTGACTGAATTATCAAATTAATGGAAGAATTCATGGCTTTGTGCTTGCCCCATATTGTAACGTAATCTAATATTTCAAAAATAATTTCCTCCATATCCTAACAAAATATCTTACCATTACGGAGGGTAAAAATTTTTAACTATGAAAAACATATAGAATATAAAATTAGCTTTGAAACTTGCGAAACATACGTTATAGCTTTGTTTGTTTCATTAACAATGTAAAAGTCAGTTTCGCCACCTCAAGACAAAAACTAAACACAGATCTAGGGTCACTCTCTTTAGGTGAGTGTTGTTGCTGCTGCTTTGTGAGATTGTGTTTCTGCTGATTGTTTGGGGCAGAATTTACCTCCAACGTAAAGCACTTAGCAAAATGCCTGGCACGAGGTAGGTGCTCAAGAATGGTAGTCCTCATTCTTACGATCCCAGACCACATCCCCACTTCTTTGTCTGAGAATCTCTTTGTCCTTTGCAGCTGGCTTCTTGCTAAGGCCCAGCTCCTCCTGCGGGAGATACAGACTGTGCTAATGGCTACATTTGTTCCTCTGTAAAACATTTGGGCTTTGTGCTATGATTGTTCAGGATTTAGTACAATGTTTAAAGCTACCCTTAAATCTGTAGAACATTTACTAGGCTATAAGCCTTCATTTGCTTAGATTGGCATACTTAATAGGTGATAAAACTGAAAGGCTAACAGTTTACATGAAACTAATTCCTGGATTAAATAGAAGACAGGACATGTCCATTAAGTTGGAACTTATAAAAGATGGTTATGAATCTTATAAAAATGAGCACTGCTTTTTTGAAATTGATAAAACATTTATGTAACATCCAGAACAACTCATGAAAAGTGTACTTGAATAAGTCAACTATTAAAAGATATGGTGCTATCATAACAGGAAGAACAAAGCATCCCAGGATATTTTAGGGATCTAACATCATAACTCACTGATAAAAATTGTATAGAATTTTCCAAATTATTATACATATTTCAATTATTTATTGTTTTATCAATTTTAATAGCACAAAACAACAGTGAAAACATAAAGAAAACAGCTTCCCGGTCCATACAAAAATAAAGCTGTAAATATCTATTATTCTTTTCTAAGATTATTTTTAAGAAAATTTTTAGCTGCTCATTTTAATTCCTACTGATAGGACATTTAAAAAAATCACTAAATTTAATGGTAATAAAGCTTTATCTGTAAAATTATGCAAAAAGTGTCTAGGAAATATCTAGGGAAATATCTAGGAAAATGATATTTCAACATCCATTTTACAGATATTTGTAGACTGGAAGTTAACTAGTTTTAAAGAGGAGAGGAAAAGGAGTTTCAGGAGAAAAAACAGCATGTACAAAGGCCTACAGAGAAAGAACATGAACTTCAAAAACCTGTGAGCTGTTTTTAGCTCAACCTTTTAAAGTTTGATAGCATCTAAAACCTGTACGAGGCTTCTCTACAGATAAACAACAGAGTCACAAGAAGTATGAGTGAGGTAATTTCAACCAGAGATCACAGACAAGGAATCAACAGAATTAACTAAAAAAGTACTTGTTCAATTTGCTAAAAAGTGAATCAACAATTCTTTAAGATCTCAAACTCCAGCATTCTCAGTTTAGGTGAGAACTCTACAAGCACTAGTGCTTCAGAATATTGGCCAGAAGAGGAATTTCATTCTTCAGCATTTGGGGAATTATGGGTTCATCTTTCTATTACAAAAACGTATGTTGATAAAAGCATACCTAAGTCACAGAATGAAAAATAATAAGATTCTAGTCAGAGAAATTCTCCTATATTCTAAGGGAAAGTTATCTTTTCTAGTCCATACCAATCATGAGGGAAGAAGATAATTGACAATTATGGACTTCATTTTGTCAAGCAGGACACACATTACCTCATTAGCTCTAGAAAGTAATTACTTAATTAGCCCAATTTTACAGAGAAGGATTCTTGGGGGAGGCTACATATTTTTATTAAGATTCTAGATCTGGTAAGTGGGAAACCAAGATTCAAATACAAAACATGAGAACCTAAATTTTTAAATTTGCTTTCTCATTGCTTTGACGTAAATGTAGATCTCAATACTCATAAAACCCTTATGAGACAGGTTTTCCATTCTAGAGATAGTGTTACTGAGGCTTCAAAAGTTTAAAACTTGCCTTATGTTGCTAGGTAAGTGGCAAGGCTGACACTGAAATTTATCTTGGCTACTTCCAAAGCTGATGTGTTTTCCATGATGTCTTCCAGGAGAGTGTCCTGTTTGTTGTCTCATGGATGCAGCTAATGTTAAGAGATAGTGTTCAGAAGTGACTGAATAACTAGCAATAATCATAAAAACACATGATGAAAACTTCCTGGTGTAACGTATGTACTTAGCAAATATTGTTAAAATGAAGTTCTGACCAATAAAATGTCAAGAAAGTTGGTATAAATTGGGCAACAGTGTGAGGGTTACTTCAAAACTTGATTTGACCATACTCACCATATTAGATTCTCATTTGATCCTCAGAAAAATGAAGGGCTTCATTTTCACTTTATTTCTATTCTCTATCCTACTTGCCACCTCAGAAGTGACAAGTGCGAAGTCTGTGAAGCTCTGTGGGCGCGAGTACATAAGAGCAGTCGTATACGTCTGCGCCAGCTCCAGGTGGAGAAGGCACCTGGAAGGGATCCCTCAAGTCCAGCAAGGTAACAGGAACTCACATGACTCCTTCATTCATTTTTTTCAGGCTTTTTTTAGTACTTGTTTCTCTAATTACTGCTCAGCCATTTCTGTATTGGTTTAGCAGGTTATAATTATCAAAATAAACTGAGTTTTTCTTAGGAGAGAGATGAGCTTTCTACCTTTCAAAAAAAAGAAGGACTTTTTTTTTTTTGTCTCCAGCTTAAAAATCATTTGACTGCGTAATTATTTCAATGAGCTCAGCATCTATTGCAAGTGCTACGGGGGACAGAGAGAAGCATGTGGTTTCCAGGGGCATGTCAGAGTAGCAAGATTTTCACATATGGATAATTAGTCGGAATTCAGGCAGCTCTAAATTAAGGATGGAAGGAAGGAATCTGTTACTGAGCACTTACAAAGTGCCAGATAGTTTCAGCGGCAACATTTCATTCGGCCTTCTGATAAGAAGTCTGTGAAGTAAGTACTATTACCACCATTTGCCATTTTACTGAGGACAAAGTTGTTCATCCAGGTAGTAAGCAGTGTGGCTAGGGAGCAAACCAAGTCTGCCTGGCTTCAAGAACTGAGGTCTCTGTTTATTCCACACTGTGTCTCGGGTGGGAAAAAGAAGATGGCGGACTGCTGTGACATGTGACAGTACTGTGGAGTCACTCGTGTTTGACCACGGCCCCCAAGGATGTGTGGCATTTGGGGAGACATGAGGAGTGGAGTAAAGTGAAAGTCTAGTGGGAATTCCAGCAGTAGGAATGATTTTTTTTGTTTTAATTTTAAAGGTAAGAATGAAGCTAATGTGTTTCAGAAATAGTGAGGGGACTGACTTCTCCACATTTCTTCATTTTTTCAGTTCAAGGACCTTAGAGAGGTTTGACTGGAATTCTTTCTGCTAATCTTATATAGAGTGTGAGGCAGAATTTGTTTAAGATTATATTTTAATAATCAAGTGTGTGTTATGTTTTATCATAAAATATTAAAAAGGAAAACATGATTGTATAATAAATGTTGCGACTGCATATATGAATATAAAGGTTTCCATTTGGTTTAAAATGCATTTGGTAAGCAAATACATTTTTAAAAAATGACCCATTGTTTTTATATTTTAGTAGGCTAATTTCTTGAAATATGAACTTACCACCCCCACTTTAATATTAACAGGTTCAGAGTTACTAGATGTTAACAGAAATAATAAAGGTTTTTAATCTCAAGAGAGTAAACATAATTTGCCAGATTTATGATAATTTATCAATCTCTAGGTTAGAAAATCCAAACATACTAGCAAAAACACGTTTTTGTATCTATGAAACACACAAGGCAGTGGAATGGATGTCTGTATAAGGCTATCTCTTTTTAACACCACTGACATAATACTATTTATTTAGCTTTTCACAGATTTTCGAGTATTTTCTCATATATTGTTTATCTGATCAATTACTGGTTTACCAATCGGCATTCATTCATGTAAGTTTTCTTGGTGCTTGCCAGTGTGCTAAGGTATAGTAAGTAAATTTTAATGAAGTTACGGCAAGAGAACAGCATCCTGATAAAAAGAGTGAGCCCCAACTTTTATTTTCAAACACAGAGGTTTAAATCTCCACTTCCTTACTGGGCAGCTTTGCAGGGTGTACTGGGGGTGATTTTGTGTTTGTGTGTTTTTTGTTTATAGCATGTAGCTAATATCTTTGGAAGCTGCTAGTGGTGGAGCAGAGAAAGCCAGCACAACCGAAGTCAAACCATGCCTTGGCTACTCTCTAGCTGAGCGACACTGTGTGTCTCTCCTCCCTGCACCCATGCTTCCTCCTCTGTAAAATGAGGAGGCTGGAAATGTCTGAATTCTCCCCAAAAGGTCTAATCTCTCTGAAACCAGACCAAGATCTTTTTGTTTTAAATGATGTGTAGGATTCAATTTTCTTTCAGAAATCTAATGCAACTCCCCAAGAGTAGAACTTGGTAGCTGCCTTCCTTGTCAGGGTCCTCTAAGAGAGTTTTTGTTGTTTTTTTTTTTCTCTTCCATACAGCTGAGAAGGCCAACTACTTCCAGATTCCAAAGGAGCATCAGGTTTCTGAGGAAAGCATAGCACGAAGCCTTCTGAAGGTGGATTCTGCGGGGGAGGAGAGTCTTCAGCAGGATCAGCTGCCCACTGAAGGGCTTTGGGGCTCAAAGACACATTCAGTGATGTCAAGACGAGACTTACAAACTTTATGCTGCACTAGTGGCTGTTCCATGGCTGACCTGAGTGCCTTTTGTTAAGACAAGAGCAGACACCCAGTGGGTGGCAGAGCTTTAGCACATGTTTAATCACAGTATCTTGCTGCTCAGTACACTTGTATTACATAATTTAAATAATGGCTTTTGGGTAGGCAATCTTCCTTTCATACACTGAAGTTCCTTTGCCAAGGTGACTGCATTGTTCTTCTCAAATTTTAACTAATCTTTTGAAATTTCAAATGCTATGTAAAATTGCAATAAAAATGCCATAAACAGAGCTTTATGTGATTTTTTTTACCTTTTTAGAATTTTAAAAATAACAGAAAATTCTAATGGTAGCAAAACCTAAAAACATTAACTTATTTCATCAAACAGATATAATTATCCACTCTTAACTTTTGGGTTACTATATATTACTACTGAAAATTAAAATATTGCTTGATTATCAGGTATAAGAATCTAAACAAAGTGCTTTTCTCAAAGACCCTTAGAGTGTTCAATAAATATTTCTTGATATGATGCAGCTATTTGAAATTCTACTTGAGAAAAGCTTGGGGCATACATGTATGAATCAGTTCCATAAACAGCTAAAACCCAGAAAATGTTTGAGTAATGAGCTCTTCCCTATAACCTGGGCCACCTTGGTTTTGCCTCCTTTCTGCACAGAGAAACTAAGACCTAAGTTGTCAGGTCATTGTGACGCAATTGGATGTTTTCACAGACAAAACAAAGCAAAACAATGCAAAGTTTTCACAGCACTGTTTTGATTTCTAACTCCGATAGTCAACTCCCTTGGTAGGTTGTAACATTAGTCCTATTCTGTTCATCTGAAGTGCTGCTCTTATTAATACTATAGTTTGTGTATTTAAAATCCATCTACTACATGTCAGGCACTTAAATTGTGTCAAGACATTGTGCATAGAATTTAAACATTTTACTTCCCACATTTGTTTCAGGAAACCTATAAGGATGGGATAGCACTTCATCCCTATTTTTTAGATAAGGATGCTGAGGCACCGTGGAATTAAGTAAATGTGTCCTGAGTCACACAGCTAAGGAGATAGTGTTATTGGATCCAAACTCAGGCTGCTGTGCCTGAATAAAGGCAGTCACCTCAAACTGTGCTGGTAGTGACTATATTCGTTATTGCCAGGCACTCTTTAAAAAAGTCACTTTCACTGAAGAATGTCCTTTGATGAGGCAGTAAAATTAATTATATTAAATTTCAACCCTTGTGTACATGCCTTTCAATATTCCGAGCAGTGAAATGGGAAGACTGCATGAAGCGCTTTTGCAGCACTATGGTTGTCTTGAGGGAAAGCACTTGTGTGACTGAATTGTGAGCTTCAAAACTGGCTGTCTTTCCCATGAAACACCATTATTTTTCCTTAAAGAAAGAAAGACAAATTGTGGCTAGTTAGATTTTAATTATTTGAAATTAATTGAACAAGATTTGAAAATATACAAAGTGGGCCTATAACTTCAAGAGAAGCTACTAAGACAGTATATGTTGCTGATGATAAAAGTCAAGCTTACAAACAAATTTAGAAAATGTTTATTCACCAACATGAACACTAGCAGTGATATTAATGAATTTGATTTTTTGATAATGTGTAATGAAATGTGTTAACATTTGTAAGATCTGCTTAACTCAGTGAACCAAAGTTTTCCAAATCATCAATGCATGATATTACAAAACCATAAGTGGGTACTGTGTTGAAAATATAAATAAATAAATAAATAAATAAAATATTCTTATGTTATTTATGTATATGATGTTCTTGATCATCTAAAAAGTTTTATTCTATTATATATTGCTCAACTTATTTTGTTATAAATTGCTTCTGAATTTATCAAATACCTATTCAGCTCTATCATAGGATGTTTTTCTTTTGTTAAGGTGAAGAATTATGTTGCCAGCCTTCCTTATGTTGAAATTTCTCTGCATTCTCAAAATAAATCTATTAATCACGGTGTGTAATATATTTTAGTACTCAGAATGAAAGAATTGTTAATATTTTGTTTGGAATTTTTATGTCTGTGTTCATAAGAAAAATTGATCTCTCTATATTTGGCAGTGAAGATTAATTTAACTTCTTAAAATGAATGTATTATCTGTTCTTTAGAAATTCAGAAGAAAAAAGCTATAATGGTATATTCATTTAGTGACTTTTAAAAAATTCACTACAGTGTAATACACATACAGTCAAGTGCATAACTTTTTAGTTTTTACTGTAATGAGGCCACACTTATTTGGTTACTTATGTCTATGGCTGCTTTTGTGCTTCTGAAACAGGTAAAGTTGGTATTTGTGCTGCTGGAACCAATAAGTAGAGAGAAGAATTGAATCTTTATGGACACTTTATTCAGATGCGAGTGATCTGAGAAGATGGTGGGTTACATACCCTCAAAAACCATCTTAACAACACATCTAGGCTGACCATTTTTATAAGGAGAAGAAAAAGATAGTCAAGGGGTTTGGAACTCAGAAAAAAGTAGGAAAGGGGTTTGGAATTCAGGGAAAAAGGTTAATCAGATAAAAGCTGCCTAACAGCATTTTTCCTAGCGTCCCTTCATCAGCTGACCACTTTATCCGCATTCTGGTCAGCGGACGTTCTCTCCCTGGAACGCATGACTCAGATACCATCTTGATCGCTTGCAGTCCTCCAGGGGCACGAAGGTTGAATTGCTTGCAGGCCTCCTGGAGTTAGGGTGGGTCTGGTCATGCATTCCAGTTTCTGGAACAACAGTTTTTTACTTGCATTAATCACTAAATCTATTGACTATAACTAGAGCTAAAAATTTAAAACTATTCGGTTCTCCCATCACTTCAAGGCCTGAGTTGAGAAGTTGTGGCAGAGACCTTCTGGTCTACAGAGCTAAAAATAGCTCTGCTAAGAACATTTTAATTTCCTCAGGTTGACCCAGCTCTCTAGAGTGGGTTCTTAAAAGGTTTTCAATATGTTTATGAACTAGGATGCAAATTGGCTGTTTTTCAAAAATTTTAACTGTCTCGCTAATGTAAATTTCTTATTATAAATTTCCTAAAAGGAAAATATAAAGATAATGTACTTTTATAATTAACAATATTTACTTGTTTTTAGTTTTAAAATGAAATAATGACTTTCTAAGCTTATAGTTCTTACATGAATTTTAAAATGATTTCCCAGCACCCCCTGCATGAATCAGACTGGGTATTCATTATTTTTGATTGTTAAATCATGCACCCTCATCTTTGTGCACAATTTTCATGTTTCTATTACAAATGGAAATTGAAGCTTAATGCTCCCATACTGGTTATACTGGTTCCTTGCCTTGCTAACTACAGGAAAATAGCCTAGGGGGTGGGTAGGTGACCATGAGTTTCAAGTTATATCCTGCACTAAAATGAAAAAAAAAAATGTGTACCATCATTAAACCAGCGAGGAAAGAAATGGAGAAGAGATTACAGGAAACTTTAATCAGGTACTTAACATATTTAAGTCTCAATTTGATAGGGTACTCAAGAGTTGGAAAATTTTAGGTTCAGGTAATAGTAGATAAGCCTAGTAAAAAGCTATTGTTTCAGGAACTGAAGGTAAGCTGGCCCCTGATTCCAGGAAACCACAGGTGATTGACCTTTGTGCTCCAGAAGAGACCATAAGCAATCAAGGTGGTATCTGAGCCCTTGTTTTCCTGGGAAGGACAGTCCACCACCCAGGACACAGGACATAGGACACAGATTAAGAAAATCACCAGTCAGCGAATGAGAAGATGTTAAGGAAATTGCTGGACTGCAGCTTTTATCTGATTAACCTCTTTCCTGAACTCCAAATCCCTTACGTACCCTTTTTTTTTTTTTTTTTTTTTTACTTTGAATTACAAATCCTTTACCTACACTTTTTATGTCTTATGAAAAAGGCTGGCTTGAAAGGAAATGTAAGATGGTCTGTTAGGGTACAACCCCATCATCGTCTCAGCTCGCCGGCCATCTGAATAAAGCGCCCATAAAGATTCAATCCCTGTCCCTGCTTATTGGTTTTGGTAGTGACTGGCAGCATGAATGCCATTTCCGGTTTCAAATCAACCTTCTAGTTGCATGTGTTCATGCATATGAAGAAGGAAGAGAACACATAAATTCAAATGAACTCTATGACAGGAAAAAATAAGCATTGAAAAGAACTAAGAAAGTACTGCAGTGGGAAGAGGCAAGACATCTGATTGGAAGAAGTATAAAAACTGGCAGAGATTAGCAAAAAAAGGCTGCATTTGAGAAATAATAAGACTTTATAATAAATGTTGACTTTAGGAGAAATTATTTGTCATTCAAAGAGCGGTAGCGGATAATGAAAACTTCAAAAAGAAAAAATTAACAAGTAATCTGAGGTATTATATTGGTGAGCAGAAATTGCTCAAATATATGCCCAATTCTTTAGGAAAACAGGGTCTGCAGGAAGAAATTGGATATCAAGAGTAATCTATGATGGGTCAGACATTTTATGGACACTTTCCCTTTCATTCTTGATGGCAGGAACAGAGTAGTGACCACTGGTCAGTGAGAAGTAGTGATCATTACTATAATCATTTTTACCGTTGAGAAAACCGAGGCTCAGGACACTGGCCATTGTACCTAATGTCACACAGTGAATAAGGATTCAAAGCTAATATGAGATGTTAGTCTGTCAAATCTCTGTTTAAAAACAAAACACCCACCCCCTCCAAAAAACCCCTCAAAGCTTAGACCACATTGCTGCTTAGAACAAGTGAGTTCAGAAGCCAGCTGAGATGGAGGGCAGCTGGGGGAACGACTTGCAGACATGGCCAGGGGGCTGGGCCACTGCTGCTGCGTGTGCACACGGCGCATCGCGGGGAGCAGGACCAGATTGCAGGAGGTGGAAGTGAAAGCACCAAAGAAAGTCTGAGGTAGTGGGTGCAGGCCACTTCCTTAAGAATTTGGGAGCAAAAAAACATAGTAAATTTTCAATAACTACATAATATTGAATTTTCGTCATGCATTTTAAAGAATAATATCTAGAAAGACAGGTCAGGTAATGGTCCCAACAAAGTGTTCATTTTCTAAAATATCAATTTAGAAGTTCTAATTTCTCAATTGTTTTTTCCATCACTGCCCTGTACTGAATAATTCTCAAGAGTTTAAAAAAAATCAATATACTGAAGTAGTGCTTAATATCCCAGCACATAATCTACTGGACTCTATTGTAAGGGCCTCCTAGTACACTTTCTTTAAAGTCATTCTATTAACAATGACAACAGACAACAAACAGCATTGATACTTCCATTTGGGATGCTAATGTATTGTTGAGAGAGAAACTTTACATTTCCTATGATGTCTGACAATAGAAATAAGTCATATAGAAATTTTTTAGAGTGAAGAGCAAAAGGAAACCCTCATTTAATTTGATTTTGGGGGAAATTTTTCCTATTGATTTTGGGGGAGGGTTTCCTGCTGACATTCCCAGAGTTAGCTGAATTTTCCGTAATTCACTCTTAATACTGACTATGCTGCTAATGAATATTTTATGAAGCAGGAGGAAGATGTTAGGTCTCAGTTTGGCTGACTGCCAAGCCTAAATCTCTCACCTTGATGTTGTATTTCTGCTCCACTTCCACTTTTTCAAGTGCCTGAGAATATCTCCCTCTGACTATCCTACTATTAACTTAAATTCAACAAGTACAAAATCAAACTTAGTATTTCGAATTCTTCTTGCTGACTCCCTTATTTTTGCTAGCAGGACCATTGATCTAGTTGCCCAGACTCAAACTTTCCAATGCAATCCTAGGAGCTACTATGAGTGAGGGCTTCCCATCAGGCACTGTACTGGTAAGAGCTTAGCAAAAATGTATTTTCACTTGTTTTCAGCAAGCAGAGGCAGTGGCCCACATGCCCCTCCCAGCCATCCCTTCGAGTAAGTGTTCTGTCTCGTGGGGCTGGCTCAGGCAACGGCCACCCCACCATCCTCAGCCTGACTCCGAAACCCCGTGAGGCAGGTACCAGCGTTATCATTACTTTAAGAGCGAAGCTGTGGCTGAGTGAGGTCAACAATTTATTTAAGGTCACTTAACTAGTGACTGGGACAGGAAGACCTGGAAGTGAGACTGCAAACATCCAGGGCTCAAAACCTTCAACAGCTTTGTCCTGTTCCATCAAAGTCACCTGACTTCTCCTTCCTCTGTGACTGATCATGAAGACTTTGTCCCTACAATGTCCCATACGACTGTCCTCTGTTTTTTATTTCCATGTCACCACTCAGTTCAGCCTCTCATTACCTCTCACCTCTAAGTGGTCTTTCTGCTCTCTACTGACGGATTTATTTTGAGGAGTCGCTTCGTGTGTGCTATTAGCTAAATGGAAACAAATGGAAAGCCTTTGATGACTACCCATGGTCTGAGGGACATTTTCTAACCCAGACATTCAGGTTATCCTCCATGAACCCTTGCAATCTTACCACTTACCTTTATGAACACTGTTTTTCACCCACTCTAGACATCTTCCTGTACTCTGACCTCCTCTGTCTCTTGAAATTCTACCTGTCACCGCCATAGTCTAGATAAGTACTACCTCCTTCATGAATCTTTCCCTGATTCCCTTATTTAGATAAAGATATTTTGGAATTTTCTTATAAAAACACATTCTAGCCTGTACTGTGATCACCTGTGTACTTACCATCCCTATAGGATCCTAGTTTCTCCAGGGTTAAACTGTGTGTTACTAGCGTTTTTGTAGTTGGTAGTTAGGCAGTATAGCTCAATCAATGCACATGCTTCTTATTTGGAAAATTAAGATACATTAAATTTTACTATGAGGTGCTGCCAGGATGTATGGTCCATGTATTCATGATGTTTTCATTCCAGTAAGGGATACAAAACTATTATTTAAAAATTAGCTTGAGAACAACTAGGAACTCAACTGAGAGAGTGATGAAGGAAGAGAAAACGGGAGGCAAGGAATGGATGGGGAAGGATTTCAAGAAACGTCGAGACCTGGGTTTAATGCTGAAAAGTGAAGAAAGTTGCTGTAAGTGGAAGGGAAAGGGGTGAGTGAGGGGAGAAATGGGTGCAGCCAGCCTGGGAAGGAGGATGGCGCTTTAAGAACACCTCTTGAGAGAGAAAAGTACCAGGGAAATTCAGGAAGTTTCAAAATAAAACAATTCCCTTAAATTTAGATGGTCATTTCATTAAAAAAGGTTTAATTAAAAAAATTGATATATAATTAACATAACATTATGTAAGTTTAAGATGTACCAGATGTTGATTTGATACATTTTACTATTGCAATGTGCTTACCACCATGGTGTTAGCTAACATATCCATCACATTTCCTACAATGAGGTTTTTTGGGATTAACTAGCATTCTTCCAGGTTAGTCACAGTTAGTGAGTTTTAACTGTGTATTCTCATTCACACTGACTATCTGACTTGCGTGCAGTACATGGCAGTGTGCTGGCAAACTGCTTCCTTTTTGCTTTTTAACAGCCATCTTGTTCTAAGGTTTGATTCCTAACACCCTGCGACAGATGGTAAGAGAATATCATGGATAAGATTTTAGAACTCTCAGAAAAACCCATATTTATAATGGGCTTTCTACATCCTAAAGAATTTTCTTCATTCTTAGTCATGCCAAGTTGTTCTATGATTTCCCCTGTTATTGTTCCAAGAGGGGAGATATTCACAAATGTGTAACGAAGCTGTGAAGTTCATTTATTTACTGTATTTATGATATAATCCAGATTCAAAACTGTCTTTTGGAGATTGACAAATATTGGTTGTAATAAATTATTACACAGACACATTCTCACTAAGGCACCAACAGAAAAAAAATAACAAAAATTGACTAATTCATTTTGAAAAGCTACCTTAAAAGCCAGAACAAGCCGGACAGGGATTTAAGAGGTATATGTGGTTTTACTACATATCATTTTTGGGAAAAATAAGACAACAATACACTTTAAAACAATAAAATGATGACTGCTTTTCCACTTGTTAAATTCATTTTGATATGACTTACACATCATTGTTTTCTTTAGGACTACAGTGTTGCTAATTTTCTCCATATGTGTACAATTTGTCTTTGACCTTAAACAGTGTCCTCTAGGCAGTCCACTTACCATCCAAAAACAATGCCACAGAATCATTTTACATGCACACAAATGGCTGAAAGCTCCATAAAAATAAACGATCCATGGTACAAGCTACATTAACCAGCAGAATAATAAGCTATTTCAGCCCTGTAAATTTTAGTGCCATCCATTCAAAACCACACCAGGTCACTTAGTACTAAATTCATAAGAACAAAAGAGTAAGTACACACTTTATTTGTTAAGCAGCCAGATATCTATTTTGTGTAAGAGTTCGTTAGCCTAGGAAAACCTATTCAAAGGCACATCAGGCAGTATACATTTAAAAGCAGTGTCTCATTTGAATACCTGATTTTATGTGTTACAAATACACTTACTATTAAACATCATGTATATTTAATATCACAACGATTACTTCAGTGCCCTAAAAAGGCTCTGTTCACTTTATAGTTTCCATTATTGAAGAGCCAATATTCAGTTCTCCCACAATTTTGTAAAGTGCAGGCAATCCACAAGAGCTTCTAGTTTTAGCTAGCAGCCCTGTGGGACTATGATAATTGTTATGAAATCATTAATTCTACCTCAGCAGTTTCAACTGTCAGGTACCTGTAACAGTAATTGCAGTTAATGAATGCTGCTCAATTTATTAAGTAGAAAATGAAAGCCAGTATTCTTTTATATGCAGCACTGAGACATATTAACATTTATCATTTGTGTATACCATGTTGAATATTCTACTGCCATTTATTGGTCAAAGTATATAGCCATATTTTTTTAAAGAAACTTCTCCTCATTAAAAAACAGTGCAGGAAATTCTAGCTTTTTAATTGAAGAGTAATTAAAATAATTAGTACCAAAAGTAATATTTAATAAGAATCTATTTCTATGGAAAAATCCAACAAAACAAAAACTTAGTTCCTTCTTGAGGTAAACAAAATTCTTTCTTGTGCCACCCTCCCCTCCCCAAACCTTTAGAAAAGTATAAAAAATCCAAAATATTCCAGTTGTTTGAAGTATAAACATTTCTTTCTAAAACTTTTAGTCAGTAAAACTTTTGCATGCTTAGGTACAGCCTATTTCTTGATTTAAAAAAGTAATACTAGGTTTCTTATTTTCAGTCATTCAAAGTAAACTGCATAGACATTTGCAAGAGCAAAGAGTGAAGAATTTTTAAAAACATAAGATGAAAAGTTATCACTTTTAGGATTCCACAGGCATCTACTTCCAATAAATATGCTCTGGCCATTCAGTTGTCCAATGTGAACAATCACAATCAGCTTGTAACGTGGAATCATCAAGTCCTTGACCTGTGCTTTAATAACCTAGAATTTAAAAGGGAAGAAAAAGGTTCTCACTTCCTGTAGCTACATTGAAACTGAAGAATATTGATCTTTGTCATAAATATAGTGGATTTGATTTAAGAAAATGGTATAATCCACTGTAGATATTTTCAGTAATTGTGGTAGAGCCAAAACTGTGATTCGCTTTAAGTACTGTCCTCATGAAATAGGACATTTAGGAACAAAATAATAGCACCAGCAATAAATCTACATTTTCTAAGGCACATGATAAAAACTGTAATCCAGAAAACAAAATTTAATAGATTGATTACATTTTTTTAAAAATCTTGTTAAGATGGTTTCCCTTCAAAAGAAATGTTGGCATTAGAGTTACACCATCTTGTTCAGATCTAATTAAGAGACCATACATCTGGAGTCTCTTGTAATATGACTAATCATAAATGTTTATTAAAGACTTCGTTGTAAAAAAACAAGCAGAGAAAACCTGATGGGATACCAGCACTTTAGTTGATAAAAATTGAAATGCATTTAAATGTCTGTGTGTGATGGCCACTGAAGCTGCCTTGGGGGAGAGAAATGATCATTAAAATATTTTACCTTTCACAATAATTTTTTTAAAAATAAATGGGCAGTTTTATACATTTTTAATATAAAATACATGCAAAAGATGTACATAATGATTGTTTTAGACAAAGGCTTTTACACACACATAGACTATGACCCAATAAATATTTTAATAAAATAAAATATAAATAAGCATTTTTTTTACAGCTACTGCAAATTAATTGCCTTTTTCAAAAAGTAGGGGGTTGTGCTTTTCAGCAAATATTCTAGTTATAGTTAACACTTTAAGCAAAATCACACATTACCTCAGAAATTGTTTTAGTCATCTGTCTACAGAGCTCTGGTTCATATTGTTCTTCTTGTAGATAGTTAGTTAACACATCTTCCAGAACATGATTGACAATAGCCACAGGAAAATGTTTGGTAGGCCCTGAAAATACAGACAGAATTTCTTTCTAAGAAGTCATTTCATATTATACCCTCCCACCTCATTGGCTAATCAAGAGTACTGAAACACGGAGAGACAGTTCATCTTCTGTGCGGCCTCCATTCAAGGAAAAGAGTAGTGGTAATTAGGTCTCCAGTCAGGTTCTCTGGAAGAAGATAGGACAATGAATTGATCCATTTACCAGGCTACCTAAAGAGCATGTTCAGCCCTCAAGGGTTGACGTTGACAAGTATCCTCCTTCCCAGTTTCCACTGTTAATGACTTACATCCAAGCCTCAAAACATTTCTCCCCCTTCAGTCTTACCTACCACATTGCAGCTGGATGGATCACTCCAAACCCCAGCTCTTACTGTGATATTTCCCTTAGCAAGGTCTAACACTCAGCTCTCATCCAACCTATAGCCTCTTCGCCAACCATCACGACTCTCTCCGTGGATGCTGCTCTGTCTCATGGACTTCGTCTGTTTTTTAAAGGATGCTTGTACATTTGTTTTTGCTCTTCTTTTTAAATGGAACACCCTTTCCCATCTCGTTCATCTGAGAAATAGCCACCAATGTTTAAAGCCCAGCTCAAAAGTCTTCTCCAGGTAGCCTTCCTTGTCTGTTTAGATAAAAATCTAAACCCTTCTCTTCTCTGTACTCCCAATGCACTAGGACCCCACTGCTATCCTGGCTTCTAATCTGCCTAACAGCTAAGGCATACATGCCTATCTTCCCAATGAAATGATAAGCTACGACAGATTTTATCCTCTTCAGAGTCTAATGCAATGTTAAAGACACAAGAAATGTTTAATGTGTTATTTCTCAAAAAAACCAGAATTAAACATTTATAGATAATAGTCATGGTACAGATCATGGCTACTTTTATGGAGCATTTTCTACATGTCAGGCACCATAAAAATTTCATATTTATTACCTTATATAATCTTCCAATAAATCTCTGGCGTGAATCTGTTCTCTCTATTTCACAGGTGGGAAAACAGAGATTTAAATGCATTGTGTAACCTGCCCAGAATCACACAGTGGCAGAACTGTGATGTACTCCCAGATTATCTGACTCGAGAGCTCATATTCTTAACCACATTTAGTCCACACTCAGAATAGAAGCTCCAGAATGACTTTCTTTATCCTGCACTCCAGGAATCTCGCCTGTACCTCCTGGGAAAATTAACCTCATTATCTTTCTGTCCCTGTACAACACATGTGCACAGGGTCTGAAGTACAAAGACTCAATCATTATTTGCTGAATTGATATGGATAAAGGAGTGAGATCAAGAATTATATTCAATTCTATTTTAATAGTCATCAGAAACTTTTAAGTGTTTATTTTTAACTACTATTATCAGTCAGAGTCTAAGGGAACACAGGGCACACTCAAGACAATTCCAGGAGGATTTAATAATAAAGAGTCTCCTTAGAGAGGTCTGAGCAGGATGTAGGAAATCACAAAGGAAACAGCCTCTTGGTTACTTGAAGTGAGGATGCTACCCTTATCCTACCCCAGGCTTGAGGGGTCTGAGAAAGGAACGCCTACTAGATCCTAGAAGAGGCATGTGAAGCTGGCTCCCTTGAGAGCAGTTTGTGTCCTTCTATTAATGGATGCAAAAAGCCTGAGATGAACCCACAGGCAGGGTGGGGAATAAACACCCAGGTCACACTTGTTCCGCACTGTGACTTTCTACTGAAGTTTCCCATTGGCTGAACTGAACCAGAGGGTTATAGCCCATACTTACAGTTAAGTTAGGTCAGCCTCCTGAGGTTCAATAAATAGTATTTTTATTTTGATGATTATATAGAAATTGTTCAATTAAACTTACATTAATATAAAGAATGAATCTGGGCATGTAAAACAGAGACACTTGATATAATGAGTGTGATAATCAACCCCAATATTTAGTTAGCAGGAATTTCTGTTCTACAGCACAGAGATGAGCAGTTGTATACTTGTGAAAGGTTGGACCCAATTAACTCCTGCTTCATGGGGTCAAAGGTAGAGCATCAGTCCCTATAGACCTTGATGTCACTTTCTGTAGATTTTTTAGATTTCTACTCAGATATTCTAGTGAAATGAGGCTAACTTTGGGGAGTACTTTCCCCTTTCTATTTAAGAAATTTTAAAGTGATATTATAGCTTGGACAAAATTACCTCTCTCTTTTTCACTTCTTCCTGACAAGCACTCATATCCCATATACATCACTTGACCTACATCGCTCGCATGAAACTTAATTTAGTCATGTGTTTTGGAAACCATGTGCATTGTTCCCTTTGGAAAGTAATAAATTCCTTCAGTGCAGTTGTTTGTCTGCTCAGTATACCTCCCTGTCATCTGGGAACAGCATCTGCCTTTCCAGGAACTGGTCCTCTTTCAACACTAACCACATGGTTCTTTAAGACCTACCATCGCCTCCTTTGAGCCCAAGTCCAGGTCATGGTTAATTGGCCCAGAGGTGGCACTTGCCCCAAGCCAGGCCAATTAGTCTTTTCTTGGAATTTTTATTTCAAACTGGAACTAGGGGTGGGGGGAAATGTCAGGCTCTTTGTATGGCGAAGTTATGACGTGACATTTAACAATGCTGGAGGCCATGTTTCTCAGGGTGGGAAGGGATCAGACCGTGGTGAGAGGAGGTGCTCATACACAGCTTAGTGCTGGAAAGATAGAATCCTGGTGGCACTTGCGTTCCTGTTTCCAGTAGCTCCCGTTTTTCAGCTATACCAATGTGCTTTTTGTACTTTGCTTAGTTTTTAAAAATCTCATTAACCAGGTTCTATTCTGAAAATATTCTTAAGTGTAGGAATGAACTTTTCTCACTTCTTTGTGACTTGCCCCTATACAGCCAGAATCATCATTGTCTTGCTCAGGCAGGGATGCTGAGAGGCAAAGAGAAAAAAAAGAGTCAGGTTTGGCTTTTGACTTCCAAAATAAGCTCCTGAAGCTACTTTCAGAGTCAACTGATGTGAATGGCAAAGATTTTTTTCTTTTCTTTTTTTCTGAATTTTTTTTCTTTGTGAGGAAAAAACTTTTTAGAAATCAAAAATCAAGGAACTAAAGAAGGTCAGATGAAAAAGAAGAGAAAGAAAGAAAGAAAGAAAGAAAGAAAGAAACAAAGAAAGAAAGAAAGAAAGAAAGGAAGAGAAAGAGAGAGAGAGAGAAAGAAAGAAAAGAAAGAAAGGAAGAAAAGAAAGAGAGAAAGAAAAACTAGTCTGTAAAAATAGGTTTAAGAGAGAATAGATAAAAATTTGGTTATTTAATATATCTGTGCCTCAGCTTCCTCAGTTGAGATAATAAGAATTACCACATTGTTTTTTGTTAGGATTAAATGAGGTGAACTATTTGAAATGCTTTGAACAGTGCCTGCCACATTCACAGAAACCGCTCATTAGATATACAAGGTCTGTCTGGAAAAAGCCCAGCCATTGTTAATATAAACAGTTTGCATGACATTGATGTAAACTGGCAGTTAAGCAGAGTGGGCTGGAATGTGTGTGCATGAACAATGATGACTTCACTGTACTACTAGTCAGTGGAGGCAGTAGATGCTGGTGAGTGAGCATGTGTACTGTGTGGCTGTTGCATTCAAAATGACTGAGCAAGAAGAGCAACAAATCTGCATCACATTTTGCATTAACCTTAAACATTCCTCCACTGAAACTATTTGGATGATTCAGAAGGCCACAGCTATGGGCAAACGGTGATTGGCAGCTTCATCATGACAACATGCCAACTCATTCATATGGTCTTATGCAGAGTTTTTTGGTGAAACATCAAATCACCCAGGTGACTCAGCCCCACTACAGCCAATATTTCGCACCCTGTGACTTCTGGCTTTTCCCAAAACTAAAATTACTTTTGAAAGGGAAGAGATTTCAGACCATCAATGAGATTCAGGAAAATATGACAGGGCAGCTGATGGCAATTGGGAGAACTGTGTGAGATCCCAGGGTGCCTGCTTTGAAGGGGACTGAGACATCATTGTCCCATGTACAATGTTTCTTGTATCTTGTATCTTCTTCAACGAATGTCTCTATTTTTCATAGTACATGGCTGGATACTTGCTGGATAGACTTCAGTATATGTTGTTGCCACCTCATTCTGAGCGAGGACATGGGGAGTGCTTGTGCTGAGAAAGCAGCAAGATCAGGTCGGCGAAGGTGTAAGCAGGGAGAAAGGGAGGCCTCCGGGGGGTGGGGCCAAGTCAGTGCTGAGGGACTCACAGGCTCTGTCCAAGACGGCATCTGATGACAGGACCTGATCATCTCATGAAAGCGGAACTCAAATGATGGCTCTCTCTCTCTCTTCATCTTAAAATTCTGCTTTCCATTGTGTTGGTTTCATTTTCAGGCAGGCACCTTGTCTCAATGTGGCAGTGCATATCTGCACCAATAAGTCTTGTCTGACTTGTTGCTCACAGTCAGTGTTTTTAAAGAATCAAGTACCTCTTTAGTCATTGTTCCAAAACAAGTCTTGTGGAGAACTGATTTCATAATTAATAGAAAATTATATTGGATGTCATGAAAGGCTTTTCTTCTTAGTGATTCAAGGTAAAGCCTTAGAATCAATCATTTAGAGAGGCAATAACATAATGAATGGAGGAGCAATTTAAATACGTTACTTCATTTAATTCTTGCAGTATCCCCATGATGTGGTGACTATCCCTGTTTACAGATGAAGAAACTGAGATTCAAGGATGCTAAATACCTTGCTCGAACATCATTTATTTAGATTTGGCAAAACTAGTATCCAAATTCAAATACACTGGATCCTATAGCCTGTATTTATTTCCTATATACATGTTTCAATAATTAGTGAGCAAATGTAAATTGTCTTTTTTTGTGATGTCATTTTTTAAAATTTATTTCTTTTTTGTTCAAATACATTTGTCTCCACCTTCCCCCCACCACTTTCCCCTGCCCCCTTCCCCCATCTCCCTCCCTCAGTCCTTCCCCAGTTTGGCTTTGTCCATGAGTCCTTGATATACATTCCTTGACTTGTCTTTATTATGAGAAATATACCTTCATTTCTTCCATTCTCTTTTTATCTTTCATTAATTTACATCCATGTTTCATTTCATTCTTGGTGGCTGCAATTACTCAGATAAAGGGAGGACAGGTATGCTAAACATTCAAGAGATGTTTAGATGATACAAATATTATTGGATAGAATGCAAAAAATTAAACACCATAATGCTGGTGATTGATGATTGCTCCTCCTACCCCACACTATTCCAGTTGGTGTTGCATTTTGTCTATATGAGAAAATCTTTACCAAAGGCCCAGAGAATAACTTTCAGATACAAAATAAACACATAAATAAGTAGAAGTTGAAATATGTTTTTGATTTTTAAGACAGATAGTTGAATCCTTAAAAAATGGATTGTCAAGCATAAAAACTTTAATCATAAGAGAATGATTCACATGACGTTTTGTAAAAATATGAAAAAGACTATATATACACATATATATTTATATATATATACACACTAAGGTATTTGGAAAATTACTTTTCTAACTTATTTCAACATCCAGTACTCCTAAAACTGGTAAGACAATTTGGTTTGTTTATCTGAGGAAATAAGTTATGAAACTATATCATATGAAGAAGAAACACATGGCTTCCTATTTCAACTCCTTTATCTTATTGAAATCTGATTCAAGCCTTTTCAGCATGCAGAGCCCAAAATCACAGGCACCAAATGGCTAAGATCTTTTCCTTATAATAGGGTGAAAACCTAACCGAAACTTGCTTGCTTAACTAAAAAGTCTGAGAGTACTTTGGATTTAGAACTCAAATGATGACATTAGGATTTAGTTTTCTCTCAGTCTCAGGCTTCATGTGAGGGCAAGATAGCAAAGGCTGTCATAACTCTTCCATTCTTTCAGGTTTCAGGGCCTGATCTGCATCTTCAACAGCTCAAACAATGCTGTCTGAATTGAATATCAAGGCTTTGATTGGCTTGAGCAATCAAAGGGCTCTATGCCATCCCAGAATCAGTCATTGTTACATCTCTGAGACTAGTGTCAGCTTCAGCAGAATGTTATGGACCCAATGCAGTAATGACGGCTTCCCCCCACCCCAAAACTGGGTATGGTTACCAGAAGTATAGAAGTATATTGGATGGCAAGAATATTAGTTGTCTACCACAGCACTATGAAAATACCAGTAGACTGACTAATTATGGAGCCTTGTAATCCATGTAGTCTTGGGGATTACTGTAGAAAACTGGCTACAAGGCCTAATGGGATGTGCTGACGGTGTATAATTTTCTTGAGGTTACCTGCCCCAGGGGGAACCACTCTAGTCCATAGAGTCTTCCTTTGGTCACTGGTAAGCCTCTGTGGAACTTCTATATAGCAGTAATTATATATCGATTCAGATAATAGTGGGCAGGTACACGTTTAGAGAAAACAAGTAGGTCTATGAGGAAACATGAATGGGAAAAGATATTCCCTGTGAACTCCTCTGGGAGTACAGGGCCAGGTGCAAAGATCTTTGTTTTGAAAGATCTAAAACCTCAATGTGAAGGGATAAACACTTCTGTCTGTCAACAGGGGACTAGAAATCATTTGCCTTTGTGTAGCAGGCTTTTTTTCCCCCACCCATCAACAACTTTGGTTGGTTTTGTTGGATAAAACTTTAATGCATATCTCTTTTATTTCATATTTTATATATATATATATATATATATACTTTATTTCAAGCATATAAAAAATAGCTCCATAAGATAACCCCCCAAATACTCAATGAGCTTCTTAATTCAGTAACATAGTACACATTGGTGCCTCCTAGGGAATTGTTTGGTGTTTAGGAAACACTAATAAAGAAAAGTAGGCAATGGGAGTCCGTCCCACTTTCCGGAGGAAAAAAAGCAGCATCAGGTGTCAAGCGTCTAAAGACCCACACCCAGAGCCAACAGCTGGCCAGGCCCAGGTGTGCCCCCTTTGGGTAAATAGGGGGCCCTCTGACCCCCTTGCTGGGCCATCAGACCGCTTTTAGAGTTCGGAACTCTTCCAACAGAGTCAGGGAAGGAGGAATGCCTGACCCTAGAAGAATGCACCACACTCCACAGGGTGTTGCAACACAGGTCCTGGGCTGAACTCAGCTTTGGCTAAGGAACAAAGAGAGTTTACGTGATATGGTTCTCAGTCCCCAAGCACGCGCTCCTTTGCTGCTGGCCACAAACCTTCCCCAGATCAGCAGGCACTGAGCCCCAACTGCAGGCCCAGCTCTGTCCCTGACAAGCTGGCACTCAGTTCCCTCATCTGTAAAAGTGAAGGGTGGGTGATATGAGTTCTTCCTGAGAGGAACTGTTGAAGGATAAGGCATGATAGATGGAAAAGAAAATCACTCATGCAGATGTAGGTGTTGTTACCCCCCCAGGCCATGACTTTCAATGTCTTGCACCCCGGCTTTCCAAGCCATAGCTCGGGCATTAAGCCCACACTGACCCCGCCCTACCGTGGTCATGAGGGCGCCGACAGCTGCACTTCCCTCTTTGATGACCTCAAAGCATTTTCACGGCTGCCTCCTGGAGGGCAGGTCAGCGGTTCTTCATGAGCACAAGCAGACTAGGAGATGGGGTGAAGGGATCAAGTCTTGACCTGTCTCCACGCATGTGACCCCTTCAAGCCTCCATATTTTTTAAGATGCCCTCCCATTTTTCTCCATTGCCTTAGTCCAGCCTCTTCATGGGGGAAGCTGATCAGGACTCATGTAGCATTAGTCTACTGTGAATCGCTGGGAGTTGAGGGGCCTCCTAGCCTCAGCCCCTGAGGGTGAGGGGGTATGCCAAGATTCCTCCTTGAGAAGAGTTTGTCCCCATGGCTTGCCAAGGTGCCCTCTGTTCAGCTTTCTTCATGGAGATGTACTGCTCCCCAGGGAGAAAGCCCAGCCCCCAGCCCATGAAGAACTGCAGCCTTGGTACTGCAGAGCTCCAGGTGCAGAGAACTCTCTGTAAGCCATAAAGTTTGGGGTGATGACACATAAAAAACAGAAGACATTAAAGCAGCATCAAATTACTCAATTAATTAAGATCCATTATATTGTACTAGCATTGAAGATAATGCCAGGTTATCAGACATTAGTTTAAGTAAATATCATTCATCAAAATAGAAGTTGATGATAGAAGCAAATGATAAAATAACACACCAAGCTGATAGGTGTTTTCCATCTGAACTGTAAGGCGAGAGGCAACGTCACGCTGGCTCGGTTCGTCCATGTAAGACACAGTACTCAGACAGCTAAAAGCAAGGAAGAAAGCAAATTTCAATAGTTATTATAACAATAATAATAAAACAGTGTTGCTTTCAGCAAAAATGTTACCAAGGTAAAATTTTCTCTAAAAAATATCAAGCAAGTCTCATGTAAATATCCCTGTGATATATTTAAAGTCTAAAACATTTGAGAGATGAAAACATTAACGTGTAAGAAGATCTCAATACAGTGCTTGAAGCCCAGTGCAGTGCCCGGGGCATCTGATTGTTAAGAAAGTGTCCATGGTTGGCCTGTGGGTGGGGCAACAGAACACATGTTTCTAAAGCCATTGCCAATCGCCTCTCTAGCACAGACGCGAAGGCTCTCCTCACAGTGGACAGAGCTCACAAAAGGGACAGGGGAATATACGAGAAAGCTTAAAATGTTGGGAAACCACTCTGTATATACAAAGGGGGTTATAAAGAATGCTCTATTCTATGCCTTGCAAATCCCTTTAGTAGGAAAAAGAAAAACGAGACACTCATCTACATGGTGAGAGAAACCACAATTCACCCAAACTATCGTAAATCAATAAGCATCAATCACCCTTTTCAAGGTTAAGAAAGGGTTTAGGCTTGGTTACCAAGGCAATATAAGCTTATCCAGGTGCTGAACAGGAGATCCAATTCAAGGGGAGCCCCTAATGCCCCTCAGGCACTACTTAATTCAACTTAATTCAGAGGAAATCCAACTGTCGCTAATGGCAGTCTCAGAGTGCTCCACCCCAGTTCCCTCCACCTGTGAAAATGGAGGTTAAGCCAGATGTCATTTCAAAGGAGAAGATATAATAGTGTGTGTATGTGTTTTCAGAGTGACCACTTTTATAAGCAGACTGTGTTTTTGCTTTAATTAAATGAGAAAGAGATATTTGTACTTAATCTTCTGGGATTTTATTTTCTTCTACGAGGAGTTTAAAATACTTAGTTCTCAACTGTTTGGAATTAGTGAGCTTCTTGCAAAGGTATACTTTAAGAAAATTCATGGATAATATATATTTTAAAAATCCTTTGATACAATACAATTTGCACAATAAATTAAGGTTTACACACTCAGCCCAAGAAGGTGATGGCTGCTTTTTCACGATGGCTGTCTGGATTAGTGATTTAGTCTTTATTCTTGTAACACCTGCTGTCCTCAATTTTTTGCTGCCCTTTGAAGTAGCAACCAGCCTGTTTGGGTACATTAGCTGCAGGTGTTGTGGGCAGTACCAAAGACGATAGCTTCTGCTTAGAGCGACCAACGTTGTATAAGCCCCTTGATTTTAAGATAAGCCAGCCTGTCCCGATATTATAAATGCTACTTTAAACTTTGCAAAACATTTCCTATGATGATCTTATCTTACCTTCACAATACTCTTTGAAGTAAGTAAAAGATCATTATTCTACCCATTTCAGAGATACAGGGAACGACAAAAAAGGCTTTCATACATATAGGAGAGGCAGGCATTTCAAATATCCTATTCTATTTACCTCTCAGTGGCCAAGTCTCACATACGATGGTATCTGCCAGAATGACAGTAGGAGTAATGACTACCTGAAAAAATTCGTTACTGCAAGTAACACTTTCACAAACATAAGCAGGTATTAATAAAAGCCCTATTTCTTTTCTGCTGAATGCCATACTGAGAACACATAGAAAAAGAAGTGGGGTTGGTCCAAAACTCAAACCAGAAGGAATTAGAGGTCAAAGATAGAAAAGCAAATAAAGATTTTTACAAACAGTCCTCATGATTGCTTTGCTGTTGCCATGTTACTTAAAATTGATATTCAGCCCAGCTTATAATATTTTCAGTATGAAATTGGTGTCATAGGGCAGCTTAAAAACCCCACTGACTGAGGATTATGTGCAAAGAGAAACTTTTGCAGTGACTTTTTTGATTTACTGAAGATAATTTCATTCATTCAGCGTCTTTGTATTTCCATGGTAATCATGTGTAGGGTCACTGTAAAAAGTTCAGAACATATTGAAAAGTAGAAAGAATGAAGTAAAATTACACAAAGAACTATTAACCCCAGTGGTTATGTAACCAGTGTTAACATTAAAAAAATCTTTTCTGACATGACATTACATACGGGATCACGTTATAGATGCTGAGGTGTTGGGGTTTTTTCCACTTAGAAATATATCATGAATAATTTTCTGTGTCAATAAATAGTAATCTACACCAATACTTTAAATACCAAGACAGTATTTAGTATATGAACATATCTCATTTTATTTAACCATTTATTCTTCAGGCCATTTAGGTTGTTCCCATTACACTCCACTATTACAAAGAGCATTGTAATGATCGTTGCGGCAGAGGCTGCCATTTGCTTTCAAACTTGTTCTTTCTTTCTTTCCCTCCCTCCCTCCCTCCCTCCCTTTCTTCTTTCTCTCTCTCTCTCTCTGTAACAGAACCCTAAAGTTGCGGAAAGGTTTCTGACTAAACTAAAGACAAAATCTTAGACTTTTGTGGTGCTATTGGGGCCATGTGGCTTGTGAGCCAATGAGATGTAAGTGGAAGTTCTGGGTGAAAATTCTGAAAGAGTTTTCTTAAAAGAACTAATTTGATCAAGAGGAGTCCTCTGTGATGACTGGAATATGGATGTGATGGGAAGAGTTCAGCAGCTATCCTGGGTCTTGAGGTGATATTATGGATTACAGTTTAGAAAAATAGGTGTCTAGGTCCCTGAACTGCTTCCCTACATATTTTTTTATGTAGGAGAAAAATATATTTCTATTTTAAGTCGCGGTTTTTGTTTTTTTAAGAACTATTATTATAAGAAGCATTATCTATAACTGATTCAAATGCTAACTGATACAGAGTTTGTTCCTTGGAAGTGGGATGCTGCAAGTAGTAAAACACAAAGCTTGGAGTCAGTCAGTGGAGGAGACAGGGCTTCAGGGGGCGAGGCTTTGGGTGTTGTGCTGGAAGCCTGGTGTCCTTTGTCATGTAGAAACTATCAGTATCTGTACCTTGGATGGTTGATCATGTATAAACCAAGACTGTAAGTTCATGGACAATTATAAGAAAATTGTACTTTTTAAATCCCCCTCTTTATGGTATTTTTTTGGAAATGAAACCTGAGAGTTCCAGCACTAGAATGAGTTGAAAGAAGGGAGAAGAGTTAAGAGAAGAATAAGGTGAACAGAAAAAACAAGATATTTTTTCCTTGAAAAAAGACAGAATATTAAAAATGCTTTCAGTCTGGGCAATTAACATTAAACCAGAATATGAACTCAGTACATTTTTAGAAATAAAAGAGATACTATAGTTGAAAATTGAGAATTACTAATATCAATTCAGAATACTGACTTAGAAGGACATACATATTTTCTACTGATAAACAGCTTTACTGAAGCCATTGGAAATGTGAGACGCTCAGAGAGAAAATGTATTTTAATCACCCATTCTGCACACACACAGCACAATACATTTATTGAGTATATGTCACCACACTGCAAGTAGATGAATTTCAGTTATCTATGACCAGCCATTCCCTAGTTTATAATACTAACTCTTCTAGAATCATGATCTCATTGCAAAGGGAATTCTGTAATTGATTTTATTTTTTCAATGTGAAAAATGTCCTTGCTGTCTATTTGTTTGTCATTGGCTTCTTGGCATTAACGAAGAAGAAATTCAATTGGCAAAATGTATATAAGAGAGCTGTAAAGTTTTAGAAAGAAACGTAGATTAAAAGTAAATGCAAGAGACCCTAGCTGGGTAGCTAAGTTGGTTAGAGCATGTCGTGATACACCAAGGTTGCGGGTTCGATCTCCGGTCAGGGCATATATAAGAAGCAACCAATGAATGCATAAATAAGTGGAACAACAAATTCTCTCTCTCTCTCTCTCTCTTTCTCTCTCAAGTCAATTTAAAAATGTAAATGCAGGAAAATGGAAACCTTGTGTAAACTGGTCAAAACACTGAACAAATCAACTGACTTTATTTCAGAGAGAAGAGTAACAATTGGTAACCCAATGCAAATTTCAGTTACTACTTGTAATCACATGTACTGTTGTTGAGACAGACTTGAAATTAACCTGGTTGTAGAAATAACTGCATAAATTGGTCCACAAAAACAAAAGTAACCTTTGTATACTGTCCTTGATTGACTGGAAATGTCCCATTCTAAGTAGTCCAACAGTCGTACACAGAAAAAGGGAATAAACTAAAAAATTAAATAGCTAAGGAGTTAGAATATATTTATTCTTCCGTGAAATTCAGTTTTCCTGAAAACGTCTTACAAATTTGCTTGCTGATCATTCCACACAAAATAAATGTAAGGTCATGTCTTGTTTTGACTGTTAGAGATAGGAACAATTATTTCATTAAATCTCATCAGCCACAAATATCATACAATTATCATTGAAAATTCATTCCCAGACATTTTCACTGCCATTATTATTTAGATATCTTGAAACTTCAGTAAGAGATAATATTTAAATGCACAGGCAGCCTTAGCGCTATTAATCCAGCAGATTAAGAAGGTCAAAATCTCATCTCTTTCTTTTGTTTGTTACAAAAGAAATACCTGGAACTACGTATTTTGAATGGTATTTTTTAAGCCTGGTTTGCCTCTTAAATTCGTTATTGAAGTCAGGTGCTGCCCCCCAGTGGAGATACTTCAGAGCGCAGGGAGAAAAAGAAGGTTCCAGGGTATAAATTTGCATTTTTTTGTTTTTGTTTTTTCTTTATTTTTTCAAAAAATATTTCTTTCCCAGAATGTGGCAGGCATAGTAGGAAGTACTGGTAATAAAAAAATTAGAGTTCTTGTGTTTGAGCAACAAGATGTAGAAAACAAGATAAAGCATGCATCACAATGCACTTACTTGGGAACTTTCCACTTCAAAGTTTCTATGGAAAATTTTATGTATGTTATGGTTAAAAGCAAAAGCATACCTACTCTTCTCCTATCTGTAGAAGTTATAAGTTACTGGTAAGGTAATTTAGTTTTATGGCCATTTAATTTATAGTAAATTTGCTGTATTTTTATGTAGT